TCGTCACCCATGTCAAGTACAGCATATATTGCTTAATGGCCAAAATATTTCTATTTCTTCATTTTCTAAACATATTGCTTATATTCCCGCTGAAGCTAAATTAGCTCCTAATTTAAGTGTAGCACAGACTTTAGCGTTTTATTCTCATTTACGGAAAGCTCCAATTCGTGCCATACCAAAAGTATCTCAAAACGATCAAGTTCGTAAATATTATCATATAATATTCATTATTCATACTAATAAACATTTTACAGATGCGTTTTTGTAACAAAGCTTAATTTACATTTTAGATGGGAGTACTTATTGAAGAGTTGGGTCTAGGACAAGTTTTAAATACTAATGTTTCTGAACTAACTGCCTCCGAAGCTCAAAGATTAAGCGTAGCATGCCATTTAATGTCTGATGCAGAAATTATAATGCTTGATAGGCCAACAGTGACAATGGATATATTCGACACGTTCTTTCTTGTCGAATTTCTTAGACAATGGGCAGCTGGTGCCCCAAGTAAGTAATTATATAACTTACATATAAATTATTTTTACTATCAGTACTCAAATTTTAACAATGAGATATTTTCCTCAGTGGTGATGAGTTGGTCTCTTATACTCGATTTTTTGTAATAACTGTATTTAATGTAACTACATATTATGACCAATAACTTATTATTATATTCATATTTATAAAATTATAATAAGTTAAATCAATAAAAATTTTAATTATTTTAGCTGGCGTGAAACCTCGTATCGTAATGGTGACTCTGCAGCCACCTACTTATGAAATATTTACTATGGTTTCAAGAGTTGCATTAATATCTGTTGGCCATTTAATGTATTCTGGTAGGCGCAGAAATATGTTGCCATATTTTTCATCGGCTGATTATCCGTGCCCAGCTTTCAAAAATCCTTCAGATTATTATCGTAAGTCATAAATAAATATCAAGTAATTAATTAACGCATTATAAATCATTTAATAGTTAAGTAAACTGTGAAATTCATAATTTTTTGATTAAACATTAATATACATATATATATTTAGTTGACTTGGTCACGCTCGATGATTTATCGGCAGAGGCCATGTTAGAGTCGAGTCAAAGGGTAGAACAGCTTGCGGATTTATTTAGAAGAAGAGTTGAACCTTTACCAGACCCTGGACCACCAAAACCTTTGCCAGGAAAACCGCGAACTGCCATTGTACCAATACAAATTGTTGCCATAATATTGTACGATACATAATAATTATACTGTTATTACTCATATATAAATAACTAACACGATATTATATTTTTTTATTGTTTAGACGTCACATGGCGTATTCGCAGCCCAGGAGTAGTTTACGATGGATTTCTAGATTTTTCATTGCAGGTATATTGTCTATAATTGTTGGTACAATATTTTCGGACATTCCAGCTACAGATCCTCAACTTTCATTTGGTGATAGGTATTAAATATTGTTAATCTTTGAAACCAGTACAAAATCATATTTTATTTTATTAATTGTTTTTCAGAATGGGGTTCTATTACAGCATTATGATAGTCGGAGCACTACCGCTCATTCTTCACATTGCATTAAATGATACACATGGAAATGATCGTGATTCTATAGAAAGTGATATTGCTGATAATTTATACAGTCGATTTGTGTACATCGTAACGTCAGTGAGTACAATTTATTCGTAATATTTAACAACAATAGAATCAATGTAATCATAATAAATACAATTTTATTAGATTTTATGCAGTATCCCTCCCTCTGCTTTAATCTGGATAGTATATTCTGTGCCGGCATATGCCATGACTGCTCTTTACCATGATAATAATTTACACAACTCGGAACCATTTTTTACATACCTATGTGAGTATAAATAAATACACTGTCTAGATAGATTAGAAACGTTTAGGTACATATACCTATAAAAACGGTATAATAAAACATTTCTACTTTCTAGACTTTATTTAATTTTACTGTTGATTGACAATCAATCATAATCATGTGCGATTTAAAAATACTTAGTTCACTAAATTTTATATTTTACAGTGAATGTTGCGATTCATATGAGTTCTTTGCAGTTAATGGCAACAGCGATAGGGTACCTGATGCCCGACCGTCTCAGTTCATCGGTGCTGACAACCATCACTGTTCTTGTGTCCGGCGTAGTTAGTGGTATACCACTCAATTTTGCCGATCTTAAGAAAATACCCGGTGTTCGATTTCTTTCGACTTTGTCACCGACTAGGTATTTTATGCTGCCATTACTAAGAAAAGACCATAGTCATGATATGCTATCTTCACTTGCGTCTACCCTTGTGTGTCGTAACAAACAGGTAAAAATATAACGAGTTAAATTTTATCCAATCATTTATCATCGGTTCTATAATTTTTATACGTGGTATATTTTAGATCCAACATCAAGACATAATAGTGCAATTACCATGTCCTATCCCGAATGGTACTGCAGCCCTAATTCACCATGGCCTATTGACACCGGCGGTGGAGCCATACGTGTTATTCACGAATAAAGACTCTTTATCGGCTGGCCTCTATGTATGGGGATTTTTCGCTTTAATCGTTATAATTGTCTTCATAAGTATAAGTAGGTTTTGTAACAGGTTTCACAAAGTTTCTCGTCCACAAAGATAACTGAAGATGTTATTATAATATGTTTATCATTTATGTTTATTTACAAAAAGTTAGACATTAATCGAAAAGCTAAGCTAGTTTGAAAGTACGAGGTATTTTTTTACTATAGTTTTGTTAATATCTATAATATATTTTTAGTCATTGTTAAAATATGTAAGTATTTAAATATTTTATAAAATTCATAAACGTATGTGATATGAATGTTATACGGAAAACAAGTAGTCATTATATATACCTATGTGGCTATATATCTAGATTATTCTTGTGTCAAGTCAAGCATTAGTTCAAATAATAATGTACAACGAATAGCTAAATTATTTACTGTATGTAGAATATGTTTATAATATAATATATAATATACCTAGGTATTTAGTAAATTACCTAGGTCAAACCCTATTAATTATAGAATTATTATGATTCATATAAATCGACAATCGCTCAATTTTCTTTGATTTTATGAACAGAATCAACATATAAACTATTAGTAAATCTATGTAATTTTAAATACAAATAATGTATTTGTGTATAAACGATTGTATTTTTGTATTAACTACCCACTAGTAATTAGTATATTAATTATGTTTAATTAATAAGTATATAATTTAAAATTGCTCACTATAAAATTATATGTAATATTTATAGCTATAGTTGTTGATTCTTTTAACAGTAAAAACTCATCTTGAATACTATTAATGTTTTTCAAATATTTTTGAAAAAAAAAATAAACTTTTAATCGTTTTCTTTTTTGACTTTTGAACTGTTTTGAAACAAGAGACATGACATAAGCATATTTTTTACTTTTTATTCCTAAGTTGGATATTTTACTTTTTGAGAATTTTGATATAGTATATAAATTGAATTTTTGAGTTGTTAATTAGTTATAAGTTATTATTACCTATTTAATGTTTTGATGTGCCTATATATACCTATAAACCTTAAGTACTATAGAAAATATACTAATCACCTAAAATTGGATTACTATACAAAAAAATTTACAAATAAATATATGCTTCAGAATACCAAATTAAAAATGTATACTAAATACTAATTTTGTAACAAGCTAATGGCCTTAGCAGTTGAAGCTGTAGCACGAATAAAAATAAATGTATACTGTCATTCAAAAAATTTAAAAATTGAAATTAGAATAAAAATATATGTTACAAGACCTTTTGTTTTAAAAAAACATTACCAAATAATTTTCAAGGTAATGGGTGTATGGATTTTAACTGTTTAATGAATCACCAAACTTACGCTAGAATATTAAATTAAAAATAATTATAATTATTATTATTTATTGTAAAATTGTGTAACAAATACAACAACGAATATATTTTAAAAATTTTAAAAAGATATTTTCAATTAAATTATTTTTTTACAAGTATACAATAAACAAGTGGTGGAAAGTCCTTTCTCAATGTGTCCTAATTTTTCCAAAATGTTATAAGTGTTTTTAAATAGTATAATTAATTAAATAACCTTAATATACAACTTAGGAGCTTAAATTAGTTCTGTAATTTAAACAATTACATTCATCCATTTATCTGATTATCTCATTCCTATTATATTATATTATATTATATTTGTGAGATTTTCTATGACTCAATTTCTTCTGTTTTTCAACCATTGTCAATTTTGTCTTAGGTTCAAGTCTCTTGATATACAACGAAGTTCATGATATAGAAATAGGCCAGATAAAATGATCAACAAATTTCTAACTTTAAAAATTATTTGTAGTTATATTAAAGTTACTAGTTATCAGTTACCTACCAGAAGTCAATTTGTTGTAAAGAATCATCATGGACATTACAAGAGTATTATAAGGGCTCTATTTTGCGTAATATGAAAACCCTAAAGTTACTCCTACATCAAACAAATACTATCAATACAACTCTAGAAACATTCTTAAAAAAATATTGGATAGCCAATAATAACTAGCCAATAGGTATACTCACTAGTCACTAGTCAACATGTTATAATATTTATAGACAAAATAATGAATAAGGAATAATTATTATACTTAAAATCAAATATATCGATAATAGAGATTAATAATATATATACCTATAGGCATATATAGTATATACCAATAAATTAGGTATAGACTAAACTTCAAACCTTCTGATTAATATTATTTTTTAGTTCAATGAAAAATTATTTATTTTAACAAGTTTAAGTTATTCTTACGTATTGATTGTATGAATCAAAAAAATACCCAAATTATTGATGAATAGATGTATATTTTAATTTCGATTGATAATTATTCAGATAATTGTCTATTTGAAACAATAATAATTATAATAATCACAATATTTTACAATAGTCCATTACAATTTACAATTATAGTAGGTACTTAATTATAGGTACCTAGCTGCTACCATTGAAATCTAAAATTGTGTCCATTGTCACATTATATAATGATTGATGATCTTTATGGTTATAATACTTACTACATATATATCATTTTTTAGTAAACTATACCAGGTGATTCTTTTATTATTTCAAAAATTATTAATGTTTTTGAAAATATTATTTTACATAGTTTCAAGTTGTTAAAAAACCAACGTTTTTATTAAAAAATTATATTTTTAAATATTTTTTATCCTTAATTTTTTTTAAGTTTTTTACTTCTTTGAATGACAACATAGAGTTTTAATTTCATATTTCAAAGCAGAAAATTTTTCTAAGTATTTTGATTCATAAAAATTGAATTTAGGACGAATGTTTTATGAGTTATAAGTATTTAAAGTTTAGACAAGCGGAGTAGTGGACAAACATTTTGTGTGGTAACCTCGTACCACTCCACTTTGCCAATCTAAACTGTAAATACTTATAACTCATAAAACACTCATCCTAAATTCAATTTTTATGACTCAAAATACTTAGAAAAATATTCTGTTTTTGAATATGAAATTAAAACTCCATGTTGTCATTCAAAAAAGTAAAAAACTTAAAAAATAATGCATGTGGCATTCACGCGCCCTATGGTTATAAGTATTTGAAGTTTAGTTGAAAATGTTGGTTTACTACCAGGGGTTTTAAATTGAAGTGGCCCTAAAAAAATTGTCAACAATAGTCAATATTATTTTGTCCTTCATGCTACTTTATTCTGTTTTTATCTTATTTGCTTATTGTAATTACTGTGTACAGATTGTAAATTGTCTTTCTTAATAAAAAAAAAAAGAAAGTTTTGTCACTATCTTCATGTGGACGTGGGTCGTAATCACCACGTTGTAAGCGACCGCTATTATAATATTTTCGTTAAAATATAGCAATATAGGACATAGGTTTTTTTGCAGATAGCCGTTTATTGGTAAATCAAACATTGGACCGGTCCCACAATTATATACAACAATACTGCAACAGACAAATGTATTATAAATTTATAAACAGGAACTTAAATACAATGTAATAAAGTCTTTTATTTATTTTTTATTCTATTTATTCAACTGTCCATTGACCATCATCCATCGTACAGTGAATTAAACAGTTGCAAAGAAATTAAAATCGAAACGATTCGATTTATTGTAATAATTAACGAAACGTTTAATATCGTTCTGTGGTTTGTATCTAATGTCTATTCCGTAGTTCCGTAAACGTAAATAAAAAGAAATGGTCCACGGGAAGGACGGTTTTGTTTGAATTCGGACACGACAGTGCTATCTGTGGACAGATGACCAACGCACTGCCGGGCCGACAGGTAGCGCTGGCGTTCAGATAGGTCGTGTGCGGTTGCCCGACAGGTGGCGACAGACGCGTCGGTGTTTTGGATGAGGGATGCCGCGGGTTCTCGGTAATTGGTATTTGTCGTGCGCGCTTCGTCCGTATTCCGTTCTCACCGTGTCCATGTTTTTGTCATCGCATTGACGCATTCACTACATTTCAGCGATCAACAGTTCCACTACGACTGTGTGCGCAAGGTGAATGCATCGGCCGTCGCGCTCCTTGTGATCATCTCTCCGCCGCCAATTTATCAGCGTTATTTTACCATTAAATGTTGTTGTAGTAGTGTGTCGTGTGTGATTTTGTCGTTATCATTTTTGTGTCGTTTCTCGATTTAAATTTTATTCATAAAATTAATTTCAGTCATCGTTATTTACTGTAGTGTTTCCTTACCTATATTAAAAAGTACATTACTTTTTATTATTACTTCCTTAAAACGATGATTCACGTAAACTCTTAATTGCGGTCGTTGAGAAGTATTGTAGTTACAGTACTTGGTAAAGCGTCGCATTATTTAAAAATACTAGCAAATAAAACGTTTGTAGATTCGCCGCGTGTGTTTTGTGGCCGGTGCATCAATGTGCGTTTACTAATATATTCATTGAGCACCCAGCAGCTTCCGAAATGCCTGCTGAAGATGATTCGTCTGTGTTGTCCAACATCTGCGTGGGCTGTGAATGGCTGGCCACCGAACTGTCGTCTAGTAACAAGTGTCAGTTGCTCATACTTGACTGTCGTAGTTCGATGGACTTCTCAGAAGGTCATATTCGCGATGCAGTTAATTTCAGCATACCTACTATCATGCTGAGGCGGTTGGCCGCTGGTAAAATTGACTTGGCGTCCACAGTCAAGTGCACTGATCTCAGAGAGCAAATTGTTAATGCATACAAGGAAAGCGTGTTTGTGCTGTACGGTGACGAGCGTTTGGACGATCGCAAGACTACTTCGCCCGTATCAGACACAATGATTGTGTTGGCCAAGCGATTGCTGAAGGATGGATGCAAGGTTCACTGTCTGAACGGTAAGAGTTTCTTAAGATTATATTCATGCTACATAGCTATTCTTTTTTTTTTATTATTATTATATAACTTGTTTAATATAGTGAGGTACCTTAATTATTATGAAATGTTTCTGTACTTCAACCTATATCTACCATAATGATAACATTTGTGTTATTTCGAGTGATAGTAATTAAGTCGGTAGTTTATACATTAGCAGTTGTATATTAATGATAATTCTTATCTGACTTGCCCTGTCAGTTAGGCAATCGATTAATATGCTTTTAAATTAAAAAAAAAATGTTATGAGTATAATGAATTTAAAAAATACCATCCAAACTTGTTGAATAATAATCAGTAGGTAGTTGCTAATGTTAAAAATCTGTTTTTATAAACTGAAATTTAATTCCAGTAGGTATCAACAATATTTTATTACTTTCATAATAGTAAGAACATAATTTTTCAATCCCAAGCTATTCAAATATATACAAATTTATATTTATTTTATTGTTTAAGAGAACATGATACCCTCATGTGTTGTCTCCATTTTACAAGTGCGTAACATAACAAATTTTAAATTAACAGAGCTATAGTTCTGCAGAGTAAAAAATTGCTATGTTATGCACTTGTAAGACGGAGACAACACATGCAGGTATCATGTCCTCTTAAAACTAATGTATTCAGCTTTTTATTGTATATCTACTAATTACTAGTTACTTATTAGTTATCAGGTAGGAATCTGCTTAATATTACCTATTTTATCACATTTAACCTTTTGTTGTAGGTATTAGTAATGAGACTCTACTAATTTGAATTTAATGAATCTACTAATAATTGATATTGATACCTATTTGGTATTACGGTATTGGCATGAAATCTGAGATGAAATCAAAGTATAAACTACCAGGTAGTTTTTAAATTAACTATCTATAATTTTGTATTGTTAATATTATATTAAATTGCAATTAGTTCTGTTAATGATATGTGTAATTTAGTAAGTGTATAGGTCTCTTGAATAAAATTTAATTCATTATTTACCTTAAATTTATTAATGAACAGTATCTATACTTAATAAGTTAAGAATTTTATAATATTTATGATAGTTCATGAAATGTTCCTTTTAATTTATTAAATAAAATAATCATTGTAGTAGGTAAATCCAGTGGAAGGCTTATCTCTTTTTGTTTATTTTATTACTATTTTTTACTTCCTCGGTTGTTTTTATTGTTCATTTTTGCAACAGATTGAATAAAACATTAAATGTTTTAAACAAATAAAATTAAATAATCATAAATTCATAACATCTAGTTTTTGAATTAATCTTTTTTTATTAAAAAAACTAAAACATTTTATGATGGTTCCTACCATTAATATTAACAAAATTATGGCATTTAAAGTTGTACCTACTATAATAAAATAATTTAGAAACCATGTGGCCTTTTTGCAAAAGATAATACAGTTGTTTGGTTAAATTACTTTAAAAATGTTATCTATGTATATTTACTATTATTTTACTACTACTTTATTCCTAAGTATATTTACTCTTATTCATTCTTATTTACTCACTAGTTACTACCTAAATTGATTGTAGGTATACTAGGTATTGTTATAATTATTTTGAAACTTTTTGTGGAACATCTTGGTACAATTCATTATTTATAAGTTAAAATTATTAAATGGAAGTAGAAATGGAATTCTATGAGATTTTTAATAATATCTTTGCATTTAAAATTTTAAAACAATTTCATTTTTAAGATTTATTTAATTTATTTATAAAAAAAATTGATTATTGAAATGAAATATCATGTAATAATTTTTATTTTTTAACTTATAGGTAGGTACTCAATACTTTATATTGTTAAATTGTAAACCATTAATTATAGTTGTTAAAATATTGTTTTTTGGTTCAATCATCACTATAATATGGTAGGTAGTACAATCTTTATTATTTGTCTATATATACATCATGTTATTCATATTATATGTAGGTGTCTATGTATTGTTTATAATCATTAATTAGGGTTTCTCTGATTTCATATTGAGAAATGAAAGGGATAAAATATAAACATAATTAATATAATTTAAATAGCGAAACTTATTACTTAGTTCACATGATAACTAGTAACTATTTGATATTGATAATACTTGTTGCATATTTTATGTTTCTTCATCGACAGTTTCATTAAAAATTGAACATTCTTTTGTTCTTATCCTGACTTTTAATGTGTAAGAATAAATTGTCTTTGTTTTGATTTTTAATAATATGTTTGTTCTACCTAGGTATACAATAACAATGTATTTGTTTATGTATGGTTTTATTAAATCTTTACTTTTTAGTAATAAATTTGTTTATTTTTAAATGTATTTAACAATTCAATTTGTTAGTCATGAATCATGATATTGTTGTTTTGATACTTGTGAATCTTGTACATTATTATATTTTGTACCTGCCTATTGCTGGTAATATGTAAATAGTTGCTAATTAGTAATTGCAAATTATATTAAGTCAACTTTAACTTGTATGTTAATTTATTTCTATTTATACCCAAATCAATTAATAATGATAAAATGTATTATGTAGGTATTGAATTAGCTTTCACTTTTCTCTGAGTTTTACTCTAGTCTACTGCTACATTAATTGTAATTGAAAAATATTATTCTTAGAAAGGGTTAATATTATTTGTCAATGTTTACCGTAAAATAATGCGAGTGTTTATAGTCAAGTCAATACGACCACTTTTAATGCAATTTTAGTAACACAAATTTATCATATTTATTTTCTGTGTACTGTTTGTAAAAATTAGGTGTTATATATTATATCTCTATCTCAATAGTATCTTTGAATGCGTTATGAATAACATCGGGAAGAACTAGTGAATATTCGTGGACTATTACGTTTAATACCTATGTAGTTTATAATGATCGCAATGCGATGGTCTGTCCTTTTTCGTAGAATCTGAATCCTCCCCTGTCGCCGCTATACTAACGATCTGAGTTAAGGAAGTCGGTTAATAACTAAATAGTAATAACAACGTAGGAATGTCCATTTCGTCATTTGTGCGTTACAACCGAATCCGATTTATTACAAACCGGTATTGACCGAAAACCGTGTTTGTTAACAATTCAGCAGAGCTCTCCTCCGACTGTAGGTGTGAACGCTTCCTACGTGCATACATACTACATGATCGGGTCGGCCATAAAGCTACAGTCACACACACGCAACGTACGCATAGGCGTCGGACCGTGAATAAAGACACACATTTTGTGTGTGGCTGTAAAGTGTATACTAGAAGATCATAATGAAAACAATTTTTTTTCAGTACACTCCTCATACACACACGCACACTTATTATATATTATAATAATACGACCGGTGTTCATTCATATTTTAATGAACGTCTTATTATTATTATTCATTCAATGGTTGCATCAGTTTTGTCGATCTCGCCTGTTGCTGGAAACCTTCACGGTCAACTACCACTTGGTCTTTACCCATCATCGTTGTAGGTGTTGTGACCTAATCAAGGTCGTTTGCGCGACTGGTTAGATGGTGTGCAGTGAGTTCCACAGGGTGCTGCCGCTAGATACCTATCTCTGGGAAATCATTCTCTTTTCTAATCCGATCTATTTGTTGACTCATATCCAGCTTATAATCTTAAAGTAAAACTTAGGTTTGAAATATCCGCCAGTGTTGATATCAACACTGATTGTCACTGATGTTATCATCGAAAATGCGAAAAATAAATGTCTTATGTAGGATCTTCTAGAAATGAAGTAAATAAATAAAGCACGTGTCTTAACTCGTAAGATGTTTTGACGTAGGTATCGTGTCCACGTTTAAACAGTATGTAATCGACTAATAACTTGTTACTTTTTTTTCCATTAGAAAGTTTATGAATTCTGAGTGTTTTAAATTTTAAAAAGTGCCAGTAACTTTCGACTTTTTGTCTGCCCATCAAAACATTAATGGAAAGTACTTATATCGCATTAAACATTTCGTTCGACTTTTTCATAAAACTCGTACTATTACTTGTAACCCCCCTCCCAAACATGAATTGTTTTCTTCTGTTGTGTCATTTATTATTTTGACTTGAACTTGCACTTGGCTATATATCACGCTTTGATCTTTCTTTATCGTAGCATTTTCGGTAATTATTGTGATAGGTAGTATTTATATGTCTTGTTAGTCCTATATTATTGCATGTGTTGATTCTGTTAGGTTTAATTTGACGATAATTGATTGCCAAATGATAATTACTAATTAGCGTTTATGACTTTACGCTGTAGAAATATTCAATATTTTAGTCTCGATATAATGGACGTAATAATTGTTATTAATTTAAAATTTTGTAAGTACCACTTTTTGTTTTAATCAGCTGCAAAAAATAGCGTAATTATTTTTTATATATTTTTGTACAATCTAATATAATAAAATAATTACGCTTTTTTTGATGAAAATATAATGTGTAAGGCAGTCGTTTTTTAATCATCTCGATATTTTGTCTTAAAACATTATAGATACGTGTATAATATAATATATGTGTCGTTATTAGTTATTTGTGTAAGGAACAACTTTAGTTTAAAAGAGTAAATTTATTATTAAATGTTGTCTATTGTTTCGTAACATTGATTTTTAGTTAAATTCGATAAGATTAACTTTAGTTTGCTGATATAAATACTAACAAATCAATTCAAGACTTAGGTACCTAAAAATTGAAAAAAAATGTATTCAACAAACATAATAAAAAGAAAGAAATTACATAGTTACTTAACAATAAAATAATAATATTTATTAAACATAATATCATGTACTGGCATACAATTGCTTTCGAAAATTTATAACTGCATGTATTAACATTTTACATAATAAAATATGTATGGTGAAAAAAAACTTATATTACTTAAACTTTATTACATTTGTCTATGAAATATGCTCATAATATTCAGAAAAACTTTTTTATGCTTTCTCTGTGTCTAATCGAATTGCATTTCTGATTTCGTGGGTGGAAATGAAGGTAGGTTT